CAGAATGATGAACATTAAATGTTTCGACAGATTAGTGACGATAAGACAATTTCAGAGAGGAGACTTTTACACTACCTTACTTTACAGAGAGAGGAGACTTATTACACTACCCTTCTCGACAGAGAGGGGAGAGTTATTACACTACCGTTCTCGACAGAGAGAGGAGACATTTACACTACCCTTCTCGACAGAGAGAGGAGACTTTTACACTACCCTTTTCGACAGAGAGAGGAGACTTATTACACTACCCTTCTTGACAGAGAGAGGAGACTTATTACACTACCCTTCTCGACAGAGAGAGGAGACTTATTACACTACCCTTCTCGACAGAGAGAGGAGACTTATTACACTACCCTTCTCGACAGAGAGAGGAGACTTATTACACTACCCTTCTCGACAGAGAGAGAGGAGACTTTTACACTACCCTTCTCGACAAAGAGAGGAGACTTATTACACTACCCTACTCGACAGAGAGAGGAGACTTTTATTGTGTCTGTAGTATAACACAATGATAGGTAATAACTGGTATATGTATGTTAGCTGTGTTGCTAATTAACTTTTATTAAACATAATTTCTAAACTATTTTAAGAAGACCATGTGCATCGTTTAATATTCGATGTTTATTCCTGTATGAAAAAGATAATTTTTATATCAATTGTAATTTTACCATTATCCTGGACATTTCTAGTTACTGGTTTGAGACACACACAAAACAACAACAACATATTCCACGATGTAAAATAATCAACGAATTTATAAACTGAAATCACGGAGTATATTAGATTAGGGGTTTCTGGTGGATAGGGCGTTCGACTCGCAATCTGCGGGTCGAGAGTCCGAATCTCCGTCACCGAACATGCTCGCTTCTTCGGACGTTTGAATGTGACAGCCAATCCCACTATTCATTGGTAAAAGAGTAGTCCAAGAGTTGGCGGTGGGTAGTGTCGACTAGCCGCCTTCCCTCTAGTCTATCACTGACAAGTTAGGGTCGACTAACGCAGATAACCCTCGTGTAGCTTTGCACGAAATTCAAACCAAAGTAATATTAGAATACACGTGGGTAAAACAATATACTGAATTATAATTATTAAAAAACACGGGAATTAGATTTAATAATGTCCATAGTTTATCATAAGACAACATATTTTGAGAAGTTCATATTCGTAATAATTAATTATATTATGCCATTTGCTCTTCTTATGTGATACCAATACCAGGCCTGAGATGGTTTTATTGTCTTGAAATGTTTACCTGTTCTACAGTAATTCCTGTATGCTGAATCCGAAAATGATATCCATTTTTCTCCATCACGTACAGATTTTTCCCAAAACGTCATAACCCAATACATAAAAGAAAGACCACAACACGTGGTTTTGAGACTAAAAGACGTAGATTTCACAGACAAAATCAGGATGAATGAGGATGAATATTCGTTTGACATCAATCTTCTTCCCTTTTCTTCAGTTTGTTTGTATTTTTGTTAGCAAACATAATAATAAAAAATGTTAATTGTGGTAAACGATATAATAATTTGATCTAAGTAAGAGTTATTGTTTTTTCTTCCCGGTTTGTAAAAAAATCCTTACGTGACAAAAAAAAAGAATATTATTTTCTAAATCTGCTATTAAAACAAGTTTTATGAAGTTTACATTCACAGGCCTGTGTTATGAAGTCATACACTGCATTAGTTAAATGGTTTAATTTGATAGATTGATTGAAGTTAAGCATAAAACTACACAATGGGCTATCTGTGCTCTGCCCACCACGGGTATCGAAACCCGGTTTCTAGCGTTGTAAGTCCATAGACAAACCGCTGTGCCACTGGTGGGCTAAATGGTTTGGTTTTTACAGTTGTCGTTCCATTTTATAATTATCGATAGAGAGATTATGGACAAAGGAATGTTTATCTGAATACATTATCCATATGTATGTAATACTATTTATATATATTGTTGTATGCATGTATAACAAATATGTATAATAGTTTGATAAATGATTTCTTTATTTTCTTCGTAACTATTGTTTGTTTGGTGTTAAACTTGTAAAAAAAAAAACACTGGTTAGGTTATTTTAATAAAAACTATGTAAGTATCCTGTCTGTCTGCATGTAGTATATATATGTGTGTGTGTCTATCTGGCTGTAGTTTGAAATTTGTGTTTAATTCACCTATCTACACTTGAAGTAACCCAGAATTTATTGAACCTTTGAGGTTAATGTGCAAGTACATAAAAAAAGTCTCCCCAGTGGTAAGTCTGCAGACTTTCAACGCAAGAAACCGGATTTCAATACCCGTTATGGTTAGAGTGCAGATAGCCCACTGTAAAGCTTTGTGTTTAATTACAAAGAAAAATGCTATTTCTGGGATTTTCTTTTTACTCCAAACTTTAAATACCGTCAGGTTTTGATGTTGATGTGTTAGAGTTTATCATGGATGGTGGGTTTGTAAAACTGGCCGCCTGCCTTCTGGTCGGTAGTTTAAAATTAGAGACAGTGGCATACAGCTTTAGTAGCTTTGCCATGACAACAAAAATACAAACACAGATTGGTATTGTTAGAACTATTACATCTAGACTTGGAGGATGAATGTACAGAACCCAAAGATGTTATGTTTTCACCTAGTTTATCACCGTGCTTTATTATTGTTGTTTGTAAAATTTTCACGAAAGAGTTATCTGCGCCTTGTTTTAAAGAAACTGGTGGACTACCGTAATTGTTCTGAAAAGATTTTGGTTGTCGGTCCACCAGACGTCGGCCCACCTGTTTTTTTTTAACCACGAAATAAACATACTATCTTCAGCTCATTCTAAACGCAATGTATTAAATGTTAAGTGTAAGGGGGCATGGGTTTGTCCTATGGCTAAATCACTGGATTTCGGAGCTGGCGAGGTGGGTTCGAATCCGTGCGATATCACAAGATAGTACGTGCAACTTTAGCCGTGAATGCCCTATTAGAGTACAAGTCAATTTCTTAACCTGGTGGTGGTTGCTGCAGACTGGCTGCTTTCTTTTATGGTCAGTAGGGACGGCGGCAGGTATAGGGTGGACCTAAAAGTATTAATTTCGTCGTTTCGACTGTCACTAACATACAAGCAGACTTGAATTCTAGGGGATGAGTAAGCTGTATAATTATCAAGCGTCTGTTTTGGTGTGACACTTACTGACAGGGGGTATTTGGATAACTCACATTGATAAGATCACTAGTCAACTGGTAACTAGCCATTAAATTCTTGTTAGCACACTGTTTGACTGTTTTCATGTGAATGTAATGTAATGTAACTTTAACTGGCTTTGACTGTCTTCATGTGAAAATAATGTAATGTATTTTAACTGGCTTTGACTGTCTTCATGTGAAAATAATGTAATGTATTTTAACTGGCTTTGACTGTCTTCATGTGAAAATAATGTAATGTACTT